ATTTACGCATGGCTTGCAAAGGAACAATATACACGTGCACTGAAATGAGAAAATACAAATATAATATTTTTGTACTTTTAATAATGTATACGATGACAAAAGGTTAAGACTATTTTGATCGTATGAATGATTTTAATATTAAAGCCGTTGTTATAGAATTTGAAGACGTAAGAAAAAACATTAATATGAGAACATTTTTTTTTGATGATAAACAGTTTATAAAATTATGATAGCTAAGATTGCAATTCGCTAACAGTTACAATTAAATTTGTTAAAGCTAGTGTAAATAATAAGGAAGTGACATTGAATTAGAAAACACATACAACAGGAAATGCACTTGACAGACATCCTGCTGCGCAAATTAGACAGGCAAATGTGTTTCCTAAAGAAAAACAGTATGTTGAAGTGCCTGCTATGCAACAGAATAAATCTGCAGAGGAAATCCGAGAAGATAATATGGATCAGGTAGACCTCATTACGTAAGAATCAGGTCACTATGATGTAAGGATTCTCAGACAAATCCACCACAAGTTCGAGCGGGTAAGTCAAATTATATGCAATTTTTTTAATATATAGTAGGATGCAAACGAGCAGACGAGACATTTGTTGGGAGGTGCTCATCGATACCCGTGGACATTTACATTTCCATTTCCTAATTAGGTGTACAAAGACTTTGTGACTTTTTTGCGACATAAATTGCCTCACAAGGTTTGTAGTTAATAAAAATACAAGGTATATAACTTACAACCATAATGCCTGTGGCGTAGTACTTAAAATACCAGACTAACCTTTAAAAGGTCTTTTTGCGTCGCGCGTCGTCAGCCAAGCGTACCAGTGATGGTTCGATATACGGCATTGTCTTTTCAGCAGTAGTAACTGTTGCTATGGCAATTTCTATTTGTATAACGAGTGATATGCAGAGGTATAACATACATACTACTTATTACCTTCTTTAACGGCGTTTTGTTTCTCTTTAAAAGGACTTAAGCAATTCACAGACCGAGTTTACAGTTCTAGTTTACAACAATTATTTTATTACAATTCAGTAAGCTTCTTGTATGATACAATAATAAAATTCAAATAGTCTTCATAGCAACCACATACACATATAGAACAAACGAACAAAAAAGATGTCAAAGGGGCAAATATGTATTTTAATTAAGCTACTTGGTCTCATTATCAATATTAAACGAAACATAATGATTGACTAGATACACTTAATGAAAGGCGAAAGCACTTCAAACGACGTCGCTTTATAAAGGAACACAAAGTGATATGTTCGATCGTCTTATAAAAATATTTGTCCCAATTTTTATGTATCAAGAGAAAATTCTAATTCAAAAGCACGAAATGTGATATTTTTCCGACAATAAACACTTTCTTCATAAAATACATTTGTATTGCAAGTAATATGAGAATAACTTACAAAAGCAACATGCCCGCTGGCGTAAACATAAAAAAGCTGCAACATGATATGTATGTTGTTGCCACCGTCGAGCAATAAGTCAAAATTACAGGCGCAAGCGACGAAGCGTGCCGTGCATTATTTATACAGGCTGCAATACGACTATTCTGTATGAAAACATACGAGTTTATCTTGAGAGGTACTAAATTAATCTCAGGACGGTGATCTTTTATTGGAATATGAATTGTTTCGCAAGGACGGTAAAGTAGATCGAAAACAAACACTTTGATTTCATTTTGATACACTAAAAACAACTCGATTAAAGATATACAAGAAAAGAATCACGATGGATCAAGAAAAACGATGGAAACCTTCTTCATGCTTACCGGTGGCATCGAACCACCAAAGTGTAGTAAAACTCAAACACCTTGCCGTATGTTTCCAAGTCCACTTAATACCGAATCGGTTAAGACAAGCCACCCAGACAGTAAAACGTCACTTAAAACCATAAGTCTCTCAATATAGCCCGGCTGATTTATATGGACTCAGCTCCTCTGTTTCAGCTTTTAATAGGTTAAGGGCTTTTAACACTAACCCTTTGGAAGTTTTGTTTAATTCCGTCTGGAGATTGCACCTTTGTGTAATGATAAAAAGTACACAACAATATAAAGTTAAAAAAATAAAAGTACACGAATAATTTATAACAATGCTGCAATTGCAATTACGTGCGGGAGTTTCGCAGTGCTCAGAAATAAACAATTTTAGCTTTTGCACACACGAAATTCACTTCGAGCGTTGAGTGATACTACGATGCTTTTAAAAGAGAACTTTAAGATGCAAAATATGGCATAAGAAGATTGTAGAACCCTTAGTAGAGTCTATAGTAGTGCAATAAATAACACAGCTTAAGACAAAAACGTGTCAACAAGCAACGTGTTAAGATTGCCTACATTAATAAAGTCAGACTGAAATCACTTCTTAACAAGTGCCAGTAACTAGGTGAGCAGAGTTGGCAGAGCGAAACCAATTAACTGGCGAGGTCAATCAAATTATGCGACGTGTTGCACCGGACTGTGATGACAGTTAAGATTGAAGACATTTTTCAACGAGAAATAAGATGGCGTGTAAAATAATTATTTGAAAGTAAGTAAGAACAGTGGCGGATCTTTGAAAGAAGATAACGTTTCCGGTAATTTGAATTGATTAATAACTGATGTCGTTTAATCATAACAATGTATTTGAAGGTATTTTGATAGTAAGTAAACAAATATTTAAATAATGTTTGCAATATAGTAAGGAAATAAAAATCATATTTGTCGTTAATGACTCTGAACAGAATAGAAGGAAAACGATAAGTGCTGAAGCCTAAATTTTAATAGCAGTAGAGCTTTTTGTGAAAGAGTTCGTCCAGGAAAGTACTGCCACCTTACATATTTCTGCCTCCAAACAGTAATGTCAGCATTACTGTGTTCAGGTCTTGAAGGGTAAGGGTGCTAGTGAAATTACAGGCACATGGCATTTGTCAACTTATGTCTCAGGGTGACGGGTGCAGTGGCAGTACCCCTTAGATCTTTGCAACTTAAAGTTCTGAGTGGTACTGCAACTGTTATGGACAGGCGTGTAACTTACCATCAGGCGCACGACTTGTTCGTTCCGTCTGTTGATATTATAAAAAAATCAGTAATTTATCGATTTCACTATAGTTCTGATACACGCAACAACGTTTGTTTCGTTCCGAGGACTTTTACCAACAAGGATCGCTGCTGCACAGCAGGATCAAAAGACCGGAATGTCCAGTAAATGGAATCGTATAGTACTAGTTCTTACTTCTTATATAATTACTAACTTTCACCAGCACAAGAATGTATATTTCATTACCAGATTATTAAAATACCGCCCCACAAGTTGTAAAATCATGGATCAATTTTACGACCCACTAAAATATCTTCCATGAAATAAAACGCATTTTCTTTGGTTTACGATGATTACTGTGTTTTGAATTTCAACGCTTGGTTTACTTTGGTTTTTTTTTGTTTTGGTTTGGTTGCACTTTATTTGAAACACTTTAAGACATAACATTGCCGCTTCACGTACTTATCAAAAAGGTACGATAATCCTTCGAATCATCATTGATAGACTATAAATTTTAAAAAACCCATCTGAGTCATGTAAACATTCTAAATGTATACTTTTATATTTGGTAATATATCTAAGTTTATATTAGTTGTAAATTGATCACAGATATCATCTCCAATGATGACGCAATTTGTTACAATCGTACTCGAAATAATATTGATTGGGTTATCATTGATTAATAATGACGCACGAATTCTTTTTGAACTTTGGCAAAAGAATTACACTCCAAAATTAATATGTATTTCAATGACAGATGGCTCAATTAGTTCAAAGTTAAGTAAACATGATAATAAATCAGCCAATAACACATTTTTTTTCACTGAGATTATCGGAAACATACGTTATTTGTTAACGGTCAGTGTAACCGACCATTTGACCCTAAACTTGATAATGATACCGTGTAATTTTATTTGGCGGTTTAGACTTCAGTAATTTCAGTATCTCCAACTATTTTGGCCCTGGTAGACCAAGTCTCGATTAAAGTGCTGAAAACGATGCCAAATTAATGCATACCAAAGATCTCTTACATGCGTAATTTAAAATTGTATTCCCGGGAAGTCATCAGACCATACTTATCGCAAAATAATAAAGAATTCCAGTATTGCAATGCTATCGTCACAGATAATGTTTCTTAACGCAAAGCGTAACGTAACACAAGTGATATTAATTTCTCACATAGCAGCAGGGCGTACGTGAAAACTTACACGTACGAATCGCGCACGTGTCACCGATGTGGAGAAAATTAATTTCTCGCAAACACAATGGCTCGCAGACACATATTTGCATACAGATTTTCTAGGTTTTACGATGTTAAATTTGCTTAATGAAACTCTGAATATTCCACTACAGAAATGGGATATCGACGGCAACTGGTCTCTTTCATCGTTTCGGACTACGTCCCGTTCGTATAATGTGAATCGACAACATTTCTCTAGGATTCGTTGTTTCAGACCGAAAAGTAAGAACCAAAGTTACGGTATATGTTAGGTACACCGTAAATGTTTAATTTTAAAAGTAATGTAGCGATTATTTCATTTTAGTCGATCGATATAGGTATCTATAACAAAATGCAAGTAAAAAAACACTTTGTATCCTTTTGTTAAATTTGAGTTATTAATCAAACAATATGATATGCCATTTTCCAGATTTATCAAAAATATGTACATTGATTTTTATAAAAAAGGTACTAAGATTTCTCGATATCGATATATACTAATACGATACGTATTAGTTCATCTGAGACTCATACTAAGTTGTTTAGCGAAATCTAAAATTGAGTTAATGGATACGAAAGAATTTTGGGCAAATTGGGAATTATAGTTTTCTATTTACGACAAAAAATCTACGTGATCAAAGAAACGAAACAGAAAGGGCTATTTGAAATAATTTTGAATGAATCATAAAACAATTCAGTACAAATAACTTGAAACAGTTCTAAAAAATCATAGAAAGTACTTACATCAAAGAAATGTGGTCTTAACCTTCCGATGGTATACTTGGCGACATCAGTGGTGAGCTGTTGGCAGGCGCAACCAAAGAGAAAGACTCCGATAGTTTTGTAAGCTTCCCAAACCCAAGGGGGTATTTCTTTGCCAAATAACATGCGAGGTCTAGACCCTTTGTAATCGCGAAGTCGAAGCCATTCCGTTAGAATCATCTGTGAACAAACACATAACTAATTAATGAGTTATTGTAAAACTTATGCAAAGCACCACACTGACGAGATTTTCGTTCTTAAATATAAAAAGAGGAGAAGAAGTTTTAAGACCAGATCAAAATTAAAATACACACAAGGAATTCTCAACGAAAATCTTATTATTACAATTCTCCATAAGACATCCGGCTCAATGCGACAGGCAAATGAATTTTAAATTTAAATGAATACAAATGGATTGTAAGTGACAATAAAAGTATATCCAAAATAGTCTCATGAATAAAACAGTATGACACCGTAAAACTTGATGTTCTTGGATTAAATTAAAATAAAACAAAAAATCTGCTTATATGTGACACAATTCATTAAAATAATATTATAAGAAGAACTGCTTTCAGCTACTTGGAATGGACCTGTCGTTCAATTTGAACTTCGGCAGATACATTGAATCCATGGCTAAAAACGCAGCAGGGAAGCTTGGCATCCTTTCCAGGGTGAGGCGTTACTTTACACCGGGACAGTTCAACAGTACCAAGCACATGTCCGGTCGTGCATGGAGTACTGCTGCCTTTGGGATGGTTCTGCTACAAATCAACTGGCCACTTTGGATTCAATTGACAATCGTGTCGAGAGGCTTATTGGTGACTCGGAATTAGTGGAGGCGAAGCTGCAAAGCCTTGAACACCGCCGTAAAGTTGCTTGCTTGTCGGTATTTTATAGGATATATCACGGAGAGTGTGCGATGGAATTACACGATTTAATTCCGCCTTCCCCTTTCCATCATCGGGGGACTAGGCGTAGGCTTGGGTTCCACCCCTATGTTTTGATATTCCAAAGATTCGCACGAAGCGTTACGCTTCCACGTTTATATGGCGAACGGCTACGGAGTGGAATTCCCTGCCTGCAGACTTGTTTCCTGAACGTTATAACTTGGGCCTTTCCAAGGCGAGAGTGAATATGCATTATTTAGGTGTGCATGCTCCATCGCCGACCTCATCGTCACTTTCCATCAGGTGAGATGGAGGTCAAATGTGCACTTATATTTTACAAAAAAAAAAGAAACCTGAAATTAATTACCTATACGTTAGAAAAATTATCTCTTAATCCTCATCCCTTACGATACAAAGCCTTATCATGTCATTAACGGCATCACCAGCTTTACACCTTAGATTTCAAATAACTCTGCCGGCTATGATAAGAATAGTCAAAAGTTCAAAGTATAAAGCTGAGAACGATGTTGACTGTACAAAATGAAATAAATTTTTACCAAATCAGAATGAAATTATATGCTTTAAAGAAATGAGATAATATTGATAATACCACTTTTCCAAGACTTAGGGCCAAAATGTAATCTGACATGGTTTAAAAAATAGCCCCCATTCTCGATGGCCTTGTCACTTGGATAATGGCACACGGTCGGGTCGCACGCGTTTTGAATATCTGCATTTTGATACTGCTATCATTAAACTACGTCTCTTAGCAACTACATTCATAGTGTATTTATAGAACGTTTTACAGTATCAATTTAAGTGTCATATTAAAAAAAATTGCACTGAGCTAATATAATGATATAATCTTGAAGCGTTTATTAATGTAAGGCTTCATTTCTTTTATTATCGACAAAATATTCTCCATAATGTCGGGCAATGTGGAGATGTCAAAAAAATATTTAACGAGATACACGAAAAAACGACTTGACAGTATAACATAATGAGACTTGGCTGATAGTAGAATCACACGGATATTGTCTCTTACCACATAGCAAAAACAAAATCGATTTTGTTGAAATTACGTATTATACGATAGGATCTTTTAAGTTTAGGAGAAAGACCAAGTTCATGATGCAAGTGTGAAGAAATAATAAACTGGCGCTAAATGGGTCGATAACGAGGGCAAACAACATTCCAAGCTTTTTAGCAAGTAATGTATAAATAGAGGTCTATTTGTATAAGTTAGCATTATTACTGACTAACAATGTAAATATAGGGTGGGAACAGACGTTGTGTAAATTTTATAATAGGTTTAGTAAAGTAACGTTTGTTACAAGCCTGAATAATAATGTTCATGATCTGTTCATTGATAAAGGGGCATGTTAAGCTTAACGCCACACTTTTCCAACGCTATTAACTACGCACCATAAATAAGATAAGCAATCAAAGTAAATATCACAGTTATCAGGTGCAAGAAAAAGATAATTGTAAATTGATGTATCTTTATGGCCATCATCAAACAAGTTTATTGTTCTAAGGAACACTATCCGTATAGAAAGCGTGTCTCTCCGTTTTATCATTGCTCGTCTGGTATTCTGAATAAAAAGTGAGGTCATTATACAACGCAGTTTTATGCAATCTCTCTCACGAGTATTTGCATGAGAATTAAGTATTACACAGTTTTAGCACGCGCCTTTGAATAAGTCAATGGTGAATACACTTCAGTAAGTTTCGTTCGTGCAAAGTAAATAAAATTGTTCAGTCTGGAATGACTATACAACATAAACAATAATACAGTCATTCTCGGAATAATGTTCACTACCTAATTTACGTGGCAAATTTTATTACTTAAATATTCAAGTATATTGTCGTGTAATTACTAAATAATATTTCACGATACGATACTCTAATATTAAATTATATAGCACGAAAAGAAAATCGAATACTTAAATAATAAAAATTGCCACGGAAATTAGGCAGTGAACACTATTCGGAGAATGACCGAATAAACAAGTTGCCATTCTTCATTTAAAATTAAATCAGAATAAACCTTCGGAGGTGTTCGCCTAGGCGTAGTTTTAAGACCGTATCTTTTATGAATCTATTACTCATAAGTACCTAATTTAACATTTTAATGGGCAATTAACAATTAATTTCATTAGCTAAAGGAAGTCATTCAGTAAGACATTATATTTGCTGATTTTGAATACTCAACGTTGCTCAATGAGCAAAAACAAAAGTGAGCTAACGCATACAAGAAGCACATACACACTTCTAGTGACGCCAAGAATGGTAAACTATTTAAGCTGTAAAAGGCTAATACTGCACAGTGATAAATGTTTTGCCTCTAAATGGCACAAAACACACTTATTTCTTAGTTGCAGTTGTGTCGTATTCTCTTATCTGAACTGAAAAAGGAAAATTGGAAATTGTATTGCGGAGTATAAAGTTTACGGTTAGCGTTTGAACTGTAATACCATAAAATACTTTATGTGCTGTAATTTTTATATACTTTAACTCGTGTACATTCCAAACCAATTCATTAGAAAGTCCAGCAGCTTGATTTTGATTGCTTCTCCCGATCGGAAACTGCGTCTTTTCCGAGTCGAGGCGTATAATATTGCGGATGGGCTACCCGATTGGATCGATTCCAATTTTAATTAAAATCAGAGCCCTGGTCCCCTGTAAGAAGAAAGTTTATGTCAAAGCTCAAAGGGTCAGTTAGCCGTGACTATGGAACCTCAAGGGCCCTAAACGTTAGATTGTTTAAAAAAATATATATATACGCGATTTAGATCCGAAAAAAGTTTCATTTTCAATAGACATTGAAAATGAAACTTTTTAGACAGCCAAAAGCCTGAGATCTGAATAGTAAATACATTAATATATTTTTCTTTTCTCAGCCTTTGGCAGGTTTAAACTACATGTACGGAGCGAAATCAAATAAATGCTATGGTGTGTATCTATGTTGAGGGTGTGTTGTGACTCGTGCCTATTTCGTCTTCTTCTACAACACACCTCTAACAATGATGATTTACAACACAGTCCCCCACTCCTGCAGAATTCTGCTCCTCCCTACGCTTAACACACAACTCCTTCGTCTCCTTCACTAGCATCAGTCCCTCGACACGCACCTGTTTCAAATGTTATATTCGGTACATTTCATATGCATGGAACTGGTTCAACAATTTGCACGAATATTGTTTACTGTTCATGTTCAACGTGGTTTAGCACGCAACTAATTGTCCACTTAGCATTTATCTATAGAATCAGATAGCACTGTATAGTTTTTTTATATGCAGTCAATCGTTCTTTGATTTGCATGCAAAGTAATTAGAGTTTACTTTATGTTAATTGCAAAGTACTCATTAGCGTGTAATGAAGTAATATAATAATGATGACAGAATAATTTGTCATCCAATTCCACAATGTTTCTAAAATACTTTTGTTTAATTTCACTTTTCTTATGTATAAAATAGATACACGCTTTAGCCACAAATCTCACCTGTTACCAAGCCATGATGTCACCGACAATGTCTAACCTCAGACGGTTTGGAGTCCCTTAGTCTACGGAAAGACGTTGGCTCTCTGTACGTGTTCTACCGTCTTTATAACAAGTGCACAGAGAAACTTTTCGAATTGTTGTGACCGTCACGTTTCCACCATCGTACCAGAGGAGTAGAGCCCATCCCCATATCTTTGATGTCTGGCATTGAAAGATCATCACGTTTGTTACTTCCTCGAACGTGCAATACGTGGAATGGTCCTCCTGAAGTACTACGATTGCGCTATGACATGGGTTCCTTCTAAAAGCGTGTCAACAGGGCTTTCAAAAGCTGGCAACGCAAAAGCAGCTCTTCTGATGTTGCATCTCATCAAGTGGCTCGTCTGCTAGTTTGCCTCCTACTTTACGTAAATAAAATCTTGAAGAACCCTAAACTGTAGTTTTCGGGAAACACAGATGCCGTTAGTGTGTCCGACAACGGAGAGCCCTTCGTGTGAATGGGAGCTATGTTAACGACGTAAGGATGGAGTATTCCGCACTTTCTACTAGTCTGAAAGAACTTTGAGAGTGAACTAAATTATAAAGTTTCTGCGCATACTCTCCGAAATGTATCCGATAGAAAACCGACAAGCAGGCCACTTTTCTGCGGTGATCGAGATTTTATAGTTTCTTTTCCACAAAATAATTTAATAATTTGAACTGTTTCGAGTTCTTAGGTTTTCGCGATAGTTACTATAATGAAAAAATAGGGTGGTTTGCATTATTATTATTAGACGTAACTGGTTGAT